TTGACTTCAGTCAAGGATATTAAAATTTTTAAAAAAATATTTTATTTTCAATATATAGTAACCATCATTTTTTCCTAATTTTCTATTATTCGAGACATTTTTTCTTTTTAATCGAAAATTTTTATATTCGCAAAACATCATTTACCGTAAGGTTATTTTGTTCAATTATTCGATTTTCTATATTAATTATGAGATATTTATCGAATATGAGAGTTATTGGTCGGTCTGTATATAGTATATCCTTATATGCCTGTATATAAACTTGAAACTGATGATCGTCGGGTTTATTCTGTTTTTAATTAGATTTTTTTTTATCCAACTGTACTTTTTATAAAACAAGATGTCATTTAAGACCTCTTAAAATAAAAAATAACCTTACTTCAATAGTAATTATTACATCCAAAATAGTTTCAAGATATCAGATTGATAAAAATCTTTGTTTAATCTCATGACAAGTTAAGACAGGTTATGAATATTTACAATGTAAAGAAAAATTGTGAAGGTCAAATGGCTCAAAATTTTCTGTGTTACAACCATAAATCATCTTATTTTAACTTTTTACGTTCCAAATATTCTTTTTATTAGTCGAAATGTTAAAATTTTTTTATGTGACTGCGGTATATCTTTCATTTATGAAACGTTCATCAAAAAAAAAAATAACAACTTCTCGCTAATTTACTTAATTTATTCTTATAAAATATAAATTTTTTTATAATTGTTGTCAGGTGAAGTTACATACATACATATACATAATGATTGGTCCTTTTTTTAAAAAAAAAATTTTTAAAAAAAACGGATCCTTAATAACGACGAATATGAAAATTTACGATTTCTCGGAAAGGCAAAAAAAGATACTACGTAACAAAATAAAAAAAAATCGATAAATAAAAGTTTTTTTTGAAAGCCGATAGGTAAATATGTAACCAACTCTATTATAACGAAAACGATTTGAACGATTTGAACGAAAATGAAAAAAAATTTATTATTTTCTACAATATCCTGTAGTAATTGTTTCGTTCGTTTGAGAGGATCCATTTTCGTTCGTTGGTCACATTTTTAAAGTCGCTAATGAAAAATAGAAAGTTATATGATTAATATACAATTTTGAAACAAATGTATAAAGAAATTTAAATATGTACCTTATGACCTTTTTTTACAAAAGGTTGAAAGTTTTCGATGGTTTCTTGCAAGATCTCTGACTGCTTTTATAATAAAAGGAAAGCTCTAATCTTCATGCATTTAAAACAATATGATCATTGTTCTTATGACACTAACCCACCCCTGTGCTCCAATTTAATACAAGTAGTTCATGTGGTCATGGATATTGTCTTATCCAATCGGAAAATTTACAACATTATCTAAGATATATATTTTTTAATTGTTTGTTTTTAAAATATTTTATTTCTGATTCATAATAATTTATGTTTGAAATAATGTATGATCATGAGTGGTTACAAGAGTATCATTCTTTTTAGAAGAAAAGTCTAAAAATTCGAAGCAAAATTTTCGAAAAGAATATCATCCAATATGACAAAACCTATATCCCCATTTTATTGATTCAAATTTGTCTTATCAGTAGGTCAGGTGGTGGATATAGTTGGATAACTGATTACAGTTAACCATTGATAAAGATGTACATACTTTTACTACAACTAATAATTCTACTAATTCTGCCTTTTTACTATCAGCTGATCCGTTTAGCTAAATCTGGAATTCATTGAATGAGACATGCATATGGGCGTTTGTTTGTGATTGATATGACTAACAGGTTTAAAACATTCAAATAAATGATTATCTTACCGTTTAAGGTTAGATGAAGTCTCTAGATTTTCCCTTTTTTTCTGTTGTACAAACGCCCATTAGCAAAATGACAAGAAAATGTACAAAAAGGTAAAATAATACAATATAATTAAAAATATCGTAATTTAAAATATTTTTTGAAACAATTAAAATCTATCTCGGCTGAGATTTAATAATGGGCACTGCATCTTTGACAACTTTATGGTTTTTATTTAATATTAAAAATAGATACACTGGCGTTAATGTTGGTATCCCTTGTTTAACTGGTATATTTCCCTCCACAACTGTCAGTAAAGTAATTATTATTTTTTATCATTCATGATTTAAAAAATTGATTTCTACATAAAATTCCTAGCGCATACAAGATCACAAATCTCGTCGAATCCTATTTTCTCCCATAGTTGTACCAACTTTGGTTCAATTGCAATTGCTCTGCCGATTATCTTGAGCTTTCCGTCATTTTCATACCCATCCTTGGGTG